AAGGAGGGCTGCTTCCCGTGAGAGCTGCTCACATGAGGGCGGTGGACGAGGGCAGCTCCCGCGAGGGAGGCGGCTCCTGCTCTGGCAGCCGGGTTCCCCCCACGAGGACCACTAGGTGGGGTGGAGGTGAGCAATGCTATATGTAATATGTCTGACTGTATTATTGTAATATCTCTCATGCTCTCGATGACTCAAATACTTATATATCTCAACCGTACAATTGTACTTTCTGAACCCAGTAGTATTACTGAACCAGTGAGTTCTAGTAGCGGGTGGGGCTGGACCCCCACCTCCCTCCGCAACATTTTTAATACTACACTGCCGGTGTCGGCAGCAGCACGTGGCCCTGCCTGCACGTGGTGTGAACTGCGCTGCCAGGGAAGATGCGCTGGGGGCATGTTCACCCGTCTCTGAACAGCCTCAAGATAGGGCACCACTCTCACGGCATACACCTGCCCTCCATCCTGGTGTTCTCTAGCCAATTCCTGTGTGTGTTTTATTTCGAAAGACAAGTGTGCTGGTGACTTAATCACAAATGCTTCCAAAGATTCCTCCTCTTGTCTCCCAAAGCTGTTCCGACAGCAGACAGACAGCTTTCTTGTGTCCTGCAGTCCACCTGGAGGCGAGCTGCTGAACCCAATGTCAAGGTGGTGCCGACATGGTTCCGTTTCCACCTGGCCACTTCTGGTTTTTTTTTAAAAAAAAGGATATTAATAACGGCTGTACAAGATGAAAAGTATCTTCAGTGGCACTGAATTATACGTGGAGGAGTTGAATTGGAGAATGTTTTGCCCTGTATATTTTTGCCACAATTGAAAAACACAATTACATGAATAACAAGGAGTACAAGGAAGAAAATGTCCTAGAACTGTGATGACTGTACAACTCTTGCTAGGATTGAATTATTGAATTGTAGATGTGGGTGAAGTGCCAATAAAAAAATACCACAATATAAGAAAATGCTTTTATTCCTAATTTTTAGTTCCCATACAGTTTACAAATACACTTTTACTCTGATAATCCTGCTGCGCAAAGCAGTTGAGCTAACACCCATACATACAGGGGAGGAGACGGCTAACATCCACTATTGTTCCCTACATCAACTATCATCTTAACGTCGTTTTGTTTTGAAACGATTGCAAATAGACTACATAATATATGTGGGCAAAAAGGCAAAGAAGTGGATCTCTTGAAACAATGTATAGTAAACAGTGCATATTATCAACATGTACACGATTCACATCAAAATGATGACATCCTAAAATGTATTCCTTTTAAAGGATAGCTTTTTTTTTAATCAATAAAATATTACATATCTTTTAATACTCTGGCACAATACTTCTTCAGACACTGCAGGAAAAGCAAGTGTAGGTCTAGTCATCAGCTTAACAAAGGATCCTTCTTCATTAGCTTTTATTAATAAAAGTATCACAAGTAGGTCATAAATAACAGGCAGAAGTATTAATTACATGTGTCGGGATGTAAGATGAAAACTTGTAAAAATTAGTTTTGATATACAGCAAAGTTACACAACACACTAAACCAACTGTTTTAATTTTGCTGTTTTGCTTTTTTTTTTTTTTTTTTGCCTGTGTGAACTGCCCATAGTGGGGGGGACACAATATGTTAGTGATGGAAGATAATGATAAATCATTCTGGAACTTATTTGTCAAGCAGGAGAAGAGGTGTCAACAAAATGAAGGGCTAACAATGCCCAGTACGGGGCCGGGGGGCGGTTTGTCTGGGAATCAGAGAGGCCGTGTGCTTTGCTGGATAAAACTTCCTTCCCCAGACCACGTACTGGAAACAAGACAGCGGCGGGGATGCAGGTCTCTGGTCTAGCATCTCCCTTAGCGATTTATAATGGGCAATAAAATGCTGCACAGCCACATCCCTTGCTCCTGGTCCCTGCATCGGAAGTACCCCAGGGTGTTAAATTCATGCTGCGATTCCCCAGTAAAATATGGCCCCCTAAAAATAACCGTGAACGTTTTCTGGGCCGTGTCAGAGCGAGGAGATTGTGAGGCGTGTGGGGGCACCGAGACCCTCGCACATACATGTTGCCTCATTCCCGCCTGGCCACGGGTGAAGGAGCTGCCTCCCAGGGGACAGCTGACCATGACTGTCACGAGAGCCACACCCTGGCTCTGGGACCTCTTGATTTGCTTTTTAAACCGTTATTAGGGCACTGAGATGTGGCTTTGTCTCCTCCCTCTCGAGACTCTGCGGTCAGGGTGTTTCTTCGCCAAATGCTCAGCCAGCTGTGGGCTACTGGGCCGACTTAAAAGTACTGACAACCCAGAGTGACCCCGGGCTGACGGCAGACTGCAAATGTGTGTCTGTCTGAACTGTGTTCCAGGGAGCCTGCTTTACCTTTAACTGCCTGCTCTGGCCCTGGGCCCTTCCACCTCCTGGTAAACCATCCGCCTTGGGACTTTCCTTTCCAATGTCTTTAAACCCTTACACCTTGGGCTCCTCCCCTCTTCAAAGGCAGCCCCATCCCATGTCATCTCCTCAGAGAGCCTTTCCCCAAACCCTCTAGACACACCTTAGCAGCACCTTCGGGACCACTGAGCATCTTGTCTTCGCTCAAGTTGACCTAACCACACAATCATCTGCTTGCTCCGTGGCGAGGAAGAGAAATTAAATCACAGTCCTGGGACACAGACAGCTGGCCAAGATCGGGCATTTGTTTCCGGGCCAGGCTCGGAACACAGCGACTGAGCTTCATTAAGCGACAGACGCACAGACGTGAACGCAATCGATGTATGTGAACAAACAAAACCTTTGTATGCTGGTGTCAAGACTCCGCACCCCCAGGTCCAGGGCCAAAAGGTTCCCACGTCGAGGCTAGTGGAAACTTTGCAAATGTGACAACAAACCGGAAGAACAGGGCTCGCCCAGAGCCTGTGGCAAACGCTGGGCTGGAACCTCCCTTCACAGGCCTGGCATTTGGAGTCCACCACTCAGGCAGCCCCTGGAGGCTAGCCTGCACTCCCAGGCAGTCTAGGGTTAATGGAGAGTTGGGGGGAGTTGGGATGGGAAGAACAGCAACAGGGGTAGCCAGGGCTTCCCCCAAGCCCCCGCAGGGTTTCAAGGGTGAGCGAGACCGCAGAGAGCGACTTCCAGGGCTGGGCCTGGTCTTCCTCTCAGGAGCCCGGGGAGAAGAATCTGTGCAGGAGACCCTAATAACTTAGTGGCACAGTGGCTGTGGCACTGCTGCATCTTCACAGAGACAACCCATAACAACACCGTAATTGAAGTACACTCACCGAGTCACGGTTCAACACACAGGGCAAAAAGGGACGTCTACGGAAAAGGCACTTAAGGTCGGTTAGGGAGGGGTGCTGCTGATTCAACGGGGCCAGAGGCCTGGTGGAGGCGCCCCCACACGCCAGCCTGGCTGGACGCCACAGGTCCCGAGAGAGCACATTCACCCCATTCTGCGGAGCCCGTGGGCATGGGTGGGTCTGCTGCCAAACGCTCCATCCCCCGAAACACACCCACATCCTTCTGAGACCAGTTTCCTCGGGTGTTGGTTCCAAGAAGCAGGGCTGGCGTTGGCACAACTGGTTCAGGAAGCTTCTCCCCTCCCCCAACTGCCGTGGAGTCGGTGCTGACCCTCAGGGACCCTGCAGGGCAGGGTGGCACTGCCCCTGTGGACTCCGGGGATGTAAATCCTTAGGGAAGCAAAACCTCTCACCTTTCTGCCATGGAGCGGCGGCTGGTGGGTGAAACCGCTGACCCTGTGGGGGGCAGCCCAACGTGCCCCCCACAGCGCGCCACCAAGACTCCTTGGGAAGCGTCTCAAATGCCCTGTTTCTCAGTCTGACCCGGAGCTCACCAGTTATTGTTAAGCAGCTCCAGTTTCCCGACATCACCAGCAGCTCCCACTTCCGCTACCTGTGGTTCTTTTCCCACGGCACGACTGTGGCAGTCCATGGCCACGGGCACACCTCCGTGGTGGACTGCCTACCTCTGGAAGCCTGGCTGCTGGGCCGAACCACAGGAGGGATGCAGTGACAGTCCTGGGCCCACGCCTGAGGAAAGCCTGGCCTCATCTCCTTTTTCCTTGTTGGGGGCTCTGCGCTGCCCAGCGGGAGAGCCATGTGGAACGGTCACACGCGGAGAGAAGCGAGCCCCTGCGAACTACACGGAGAGAGTGAAACAAGCCCCCCTGGGACAGTGGCTCAGCCAAGCTACTGACCACGTGACCGCCCGCCAGCCAGGCTGACAGAAAAACAGCTCAGCTGAGCCCAGCCCAGATCCAAAAGTCATGGGGGTTGGAAGGGGGAGAAGGGAGGTGTCTGAAGCCACAGTCCTGGGGTGGTTTGTCAGCAACCGATCACCCAAACCTTAGTCATCCAAAGATGCCCATTTTCTAAACTGTCAGATTACTCAAAGCAAAGGAAACATGGCCGAAGGCTTCTTGCCACCCCACTCAGGATGCCAGTGTCAACAGGCTGAGTGGAAGTTGGGAAGGAAAAATGGTCAACCGCTAAAAAAAAGAAAACAAAACATCTCTTATCCTAATGTGTCGGTTTCCACGATATTCCCGAGAGAGCAATGCAAAATGTGACCACCAGCTTCTGTCCGTCGGGGGCACTGGCTTAATCCTTTCCCCTAGAGGAAGCGGCCATCAACATGAATCACCCACCACAAGGTAACTGACGGTGAGGGAACGCGTCCCCACTTCTTCAGGGCATTTGTTACTTGATATGCCCACCTGGTGTCTCCTCTTACAGATGCCCTGTCATCTCCCAGGAAGAGAGGATGATTCAATGGTCGACAGGGCAAAAGGAAAACTGATGCCGTGAGACAGACACTTCGACGACCGCTGTCCTCGGTTTAGAACAAGATTCTAGAACATAGAGCACTGCCTACATCGCAGAGATGATTTCCTATCTGAGAAAATGAGTAATCAGAGACCGGGTCCTGCTGAGTGAGCATACGGTGGTGGGTCCTTTGATGGTTTCAAATTGTACTTCTCAAAAGAGAGAGACAACCACGTAATAACCCGAGCCTTCCACATCCAAATTCCTTCTTCATAGAAACTTTCTTGTATCTTTTCTTCATCCTTTTTAGGGGGTGGGTGAAAATCCATATCTGGGGGAAGAAATAAGTGAGATTTTTCTTAAGACAGTAAACCTAAAAGTTCAGCACAGTATTAAACTATTTTCAATTAGATGTAAGCAAAGCTTTTAAACAGCAGTGTAGTGGTTAGGCGTTAGGCTGTGATCTGCATGGTTGACAGTTTGAAGCCACCAACAGCGCACCCAGGGAGAAAGACTGGGCTCTCTACTCCTGTTAACATTTAGTCTCAGAAACCCACAGGGGATCGTTGAGTTAGCATTGTCTCTATGGCAGTGTGAGTGAGTGAGTGAGTGACCGACCGACCCACGGAAATAGTTGCCTGGTGGTGTAATGGTTGGTCGGCGGTTCAAAACCACCAGCTGCTCCACAGGAGAAAGACGAGGCTTTCTACTCCCATAGAGTGACAGGCTCAGAAACCCACAGGAGCAGTTCCAGCCTGCCCTATAGGCTCGCTATGAGTTGGAATCGACTCGCTGGGGAATGGAAATTCCCCACCATGTTTCTAACATCATGTCAACACACGTACCACCAACCACTGTCTAATGAAGGAGGTTGGCAGGGAAGAGGAAGATGAAGGGAGATGAAGTCCTGGCAGCAGAGGGAGAAGGATGTGGCGTGGATCCAGTTGGAAGCCAGAGAACCCAGCGCCCTGAGCCATGCGGCCGCTCCAAGGGCCGACTGGGCCCCGAAAGAGGGCGTTCTGCCTCCCAACCATCACGGACACAGGCAGATGCTTCCCGCTCGGCCAACCACCTCCATCAAAGGGCCAACGAAGCCACCAGCCGCTCCCCAGAGAAAGACGGCGCATGCTACTCCTCCCTCTATGGAGTTCCAGTCTTGGGAACGTCCAGGGGCCGTTCTACCTTGCCCTGTAGGGTCGCCAGGAGTCAGCATCGACTCACTGCCCGGGAAAGCGAGAGTGCCGAAACAGCTTGCTTTACCTGGGATCAAAAGCAGGTCATCGTTTGATTGAACTGCTGAATTGTAATGCTATCAGGATTATGACCCGATAAAGCTATTTTTTAAAAAACGAATCATCGTTTACATCTACAGCAGATGGCGCAGGTAGCACTGAAATACCTGTTTGTGTGCTGAGGTCTGGGCGGGTCCTTCTCATCTGAAACTTTTCTGCTGCTGCATCAGGCCCACGTTTTCATAGACTCTAGCGTTATCTTCTCTCATTCTGAAAGGGGAAGAGATGGCACACTGACAGACATGCAGGCCAGCCTCGGCAGACCACACGTGGCCCTGAGAGCAGCGCACATCGGGGTCAGGTTCCTTTGGGGACCAGGCATGGTTCAGACGCAGTTCCTGCCCCCCAGAGGAACATCCTACAAGAGCACCAGAAGGCACACACCTACAGCTAGACACAATACAGAGGCAACAGGGAGAGTCACTCTCCAAGCAGTGTGCTCCCTGGGCTTTGCACAAAAGCCAGTTGTCTTTTCCAGGTGGGCTGAGAGGGGCAGGCCTGCAGCACAGGCGTGTGGACTAAGCACGGAAGGACATAGAACGTGGTGTGGACACCAAGCCAAATCCGGACTCACTGTAACCCTACCGGGCCCAATAAAACACCCTGGCAGGGTTTTCAGGACGAGAATCTTGACAGAAGTCAACGACCTGTCTTTCTGCTTGTTGAGTGGCTGGTGGGTTCAACACCACTGATCTGTCGGTTAGCAGCCAAGCGTTTGCCCTGGGGGGATCCGAGAAGGCGAAAGCCACAGCGAAGGTTCAGCCGCCATCAGCGACTAAGAGGTGTCAGCTTCCATTCTGACAGAGTGATCGGGAAGCTAAATGCTGGCTAGGGTCTTCGGAGAGAGAGGACCAACGCAACTAAGAGTAGAAGCCCCTTCTGCCTGACCAGACCAGAATGTTGACAGCCGTAGGAGCTGGCCAGAGGGGGCTCCCCATTGTTGTGCGCCTGCACCACCACCACCACCCCCCCACCCCGCCACAAGGGTATTCTGGGTCTGGAGCCTCCAAGGAGCCCTGGGGCATAGTGGTGACAACATTGAGTTGCTAGCCGCAAGGTCAGCAGTTTGAAACCACCAGTGAGTCTGAGGAAGAAAAATGAGGCTTGCTACCCCATAGAGTGACAGTCTCAGAAATCCACGGGGGCAGTTCGACCCTGTCCTACAGGGCTGCTGTGGGTTGGAATCCACTCAATGGCAGTGAGGGAGCACCCTCCAAGGGATGGTGGAAATGATGAAGCAGAGAGCCAGCCTACTGGTCACCGGCATGCCGCTGGTGATAAAGGAGTGGACTCTTGTGCCAACTCGAGGGGAAAGCAAAATGCAGCTTCCCTGGAAAGAGCAAGTGGGAAGAAGGCTGGGCATGTTTGGAGAAAACACTCGGGGTACAGTTGCTGTGATAGTTAGGGTTTATTGTGCCAACCTGGCCAATGAACACATGTGGGGTTCATTGAAGGGCAGAGAGATATAAATGGCTCAGTGAGCCTTGCCTTTCTGGTCTCTTAACTCTCTGATAGTCGGACCAGGGTGCAGCTGCCTTAGCTAGTTCCCTGCTTCAGCTGCCAAGGCTCACTTCCTGCAAGACATCCCTGAGGAGAAGCCACAT